AAAAAAAAAAAAAAAAAAAAAAAAAAAAAAAAAAAAAAAAAAAAAAAAAAAAAAAAAAAAAAAAAAAAAAAAAAAAAAAAAAAAAAAAAAAAAGTATTAAAATGGATGGGAAAAGCCCAGGGAGTGATTGATGCCGCCGCGTTCTCTCAAGTTTCACAGCTTACAGTCTTAAGTATGTAGCGCCTAGCGGAATGGAATCTTTAATCCCTGGGAAACAACCAGAATCATCTCAATAAATGTGAATGTATACCCCAATTTACGATATCGGAAAGAGTGATAATGGTACTACGGAGCCCAGTTTAAGCTTAACTGAAAATACTGTTCTAATTACCTAAGGTCTACCCCACGTAACTGGGTGGGTTGCGGGAATTGCTCTCGCCGAGCCCCGTATCCCTAGTATGACTCCTAGTGCTGAGTGTCTCCCAGCGAATACAAAGTAGTCAGCTAACAGGCTCTCACACGGCTCCTGCAGCAAATACCCGGCAATGGCAACCTCCGAGAACGATAAGAGGTCTAAGGTCTGCTGCAATCCTCTTGGTACCCAGCCATTCACCGATGTTTCTTCCTAACAAAGTAGTAGCCCAGCAGCCTGCGGTCCATTATCGCAGGCTCTACTGCCGGTGCAGTCGAGATCGGTAACCATCCTCTTATTCTAAATCAAGATATCGCTTGCTAATTTGATGGCAGCAATTACCTACCCGGCCGAATGTAAGACCTATTCAAGCCTGGACCTTCCAATGATCGCTTAACACCTGGCGCGCTCAGTTGCGAAAACCCGATCCCAGCTCAATCGCAGATTACCGGACGCAAAGAAACTCCCATGGCCGCCATTTGGATCACAATGGTACGCTGGGTGCACAACTTTGATTATAGGGAATTCACTTAAGGCAGGAATTCGTGAGTCCATCCTGTTCCACCGAAACGATCTTGACCCGTATGGTAGCTAATGCTGAGATCTAATTTAACAAAGGGTTTGTCGCCTTCGATTGGCTGAAATCGCTTTTGCAGGATGAAAACGGCCAGATTTCTGGACCAAAAACAGTCATCGCAGGTTTCGGCGCAGGATTTACGGAGTCATTGCTAGCTGTTACTCCATTTGAGAGCATCAAGACACAATTGTTCGTTAAGTTCTAACTCTCATCATACCAACACACTGGGCCATAGCTTCTGCTGCAGATTGTACAAATAGTACTAACTCTGTATGATGTCAATAAATACTGCAGGATCGACGATCGCAAATCACAAAATCCTCGCATGCGTGGATTCTTACATGGCAGTAGAGTGATTTTTCAGGAGCGAGGTGTTCGCGGTTTCTTTCAAGGCTTCGTCCCTACGACTGCACGACAGGCTGCCAACTCGGCTACTAGGTTTTCGAGCTACACGATGTTGAAACAAATGGCTCAGGGTTACGTCGCTCCAGGTGAGAAGTTGGGAACCGCGAGCACCTTCGCTCTGGGAGGCATTGCAGGCCTTATCACTGTGTACGTCTACCTACCCCTCGGGCATTGCTTGTGATTATTATACTGACTCTCTTGCGTGATAGCTATGTTACACAGCCTCTTGATACTGTCAAGACAAGGTATGTATCGGGCAGGCCAGGGGATATCAGCCGTACTCTGACACAACAGCAGGATGCAATCGCTGGAGGCCAGCAAGAACTATAAGAACAGTTTTGTCTGCGCTGCACGTATTTTCAAGGACGAGGGCATCTTCACATTCTGGTCTGGTGCTGTCCCACGGCTAGCGAGATTGATCATGAGCGGAGGCATAGTGTTTACGATGTTCGTGCTAAAACAACCCTTTTCGCCTGAGTGTGCATGCGACTAACCCTTTCATAGGTACGAGAAAACCATGGATGCTTTGGATGGTCTCGATCCGGAAAGGCGATACATTTGATGGGATACACTTTGGCCAGGAGGTGCGACACATGGTGAGAAGAACCATTACTATTTGGATTACCCAATGCATGTGAATTTTATAGTGTGCCATATGATATGACTGTATTTACATCATGCCTATAAGCGAATAGCTGTCTTTGCGGCGATACCTGACCCTATCGCAGTTGGGCACGCAGCCCTTCTTTGTCTTGGACTGATTCTTCAGCAGCCATGGCCTCTATTTCGCGCTCGACGAGCCATGTCCGTACGCTATCCATTACGGTTTCTAGGCCTTCACCACCATCAAGAACACTATCCAGGTTATGTATGGTGAGGCCGCTGCGATGGTCTGTGCAGCGATTCTGACCGTAATTGTAAGTTCGGATCTTGTCACCGCGTCCCATTCGAGCAACACCGCCCATTGCTCCTCTCCTTAGGTTAACCAATTCCTGTTCTCGGGCTTCTCGTCTTGCTTCAGCTAATCTCGCCCGCAAAACCTGCCAAGCCTTCTTCCGATTGGCATGTTGGGAACGTGAATCTTGCATAGAGACAACGGTACCCGTTGGTATATGGGTCAACCGAATAGCTGACTCGGTTTTATTGACATGCTGACCGCCTGCGCCACCGGCTCGCATCTTCTCTGTGCGAACCTCTTGAGGATCCACATAGTAGTCACTGTTTGGGTCCTCAAAATTGAGTGAACTATCAAGGCCACTCCCGGAGTCTGGAAAACTAGGAAGTATCATCACACTAACGGCACTGGTATGTGTGCGGCCCTTGGCCTCGGTAGCGGGAACCCTCTGTACTCTATGAACTCCCGACTCTGTTCTCAGGATGTCATAGGCCCCATCCGCGTCAACTTCCAGGACCGCTTCACTCAATCGGTCTTGCGCAGGGCCGTCTGCAACATCCTGTTTTATGATGCTATACCTGAAACCACGACGTGAACAGAAGGCGATATACATTCTCAATACCTCGAAAGCAAAAAGGCCAGCCTCGTCCCCACCTGCGCCGGGGCGTATTTCGAGCAAGCATGGGAGGTCTGCGAAAGGGTGGCGAGGTATAAGAGCCTTCTTTAAATTATCCGCTATGGCAGGCAGCGCGATCTTGCTGCTCTCCAGGTCTTCAACTGCAAGCGACCTCAGCTCAGCATCGGTTTCCGGGTCATCAAGCAGGGACAAAAGTTCCGATATAGACTGCAAAATGTCAATAGAGCTGAATACAGGAACACATTGGAGAAATACAAACACTATTTGCGTGTTCCCACTCTTTCAAGGTACTCGCGATTGGTGCGAGTTCACCCACTCGCTTGGCGAGTTTCGCATCAAATACCTCAGCCAAATGGGCGGAGAGTGTGGAATGTTCACTGGTCAAAGAACGAGCGCGTGCTAATAGGGCTTGTGAAAGGCCTGAGGAATCTGCCTCGGACCACGTCAGTTCCTTCCTAGACGGTGAAACAGAAATAGATATGAAGGAGGTATAGCAGACCAGTCTTTAGGCCGCGATGTTGTAGAAACAGACGCGGATTGGAGCCAATCCTAGCAGCAGACCGCACGAAACATCGAGCGCATATCCACGGCGCGTTGAACATATTCTACCGAGCTGGGGTTGAATAAACCATGCTCGTTGGTCCAGACTCTCAAAAATCCAGCTGCTGGAGTCTCGGCTAGCTCGAGATTTGGGGCATGCGGAGGTTGTTGGTATGGCAAGTCCGGATACGGGATCATCAGCTCCATACGGAAATCGAACGTGTGGTAATATTACCGTATGTAATGTCGTCGTAAAGGCCAGACTGGAAGAAGGTGGTCATGGATCAAGCTTCCTTTTTCCTTCCCCTTCGACGAAGGACGATATAGTGTCTGTCCTGCCCGCTACTGTTAGCATTGATAATATGTGAAGTGCTTTCCGACCTTTTCCAGGTCCCTCATGCTCTTTATACCTTCAATCCTCGGTCATCTATTCCATGCTGACCATAAGTCCTGACCTATTATGATATTTGCGCCATAATTAAATCCTGCTTCCATCGTCAAAGTCCCATTCCAGGTGTTTCACGAACTAGACGAACATGCACTTGCCTCTAACATCTCTTACGGTCTTTCTGGCCTTTCTTTCCGCTGGCCATGGCCTGCAGTCTTCTCAGATCCCCTCTGACACCCCACTATCATCGTTGATCGCTTCTGCAAAATCCCACCTTGCGGGTGGTTCCCCCCGCGAGGCCTTGGTGTATTTTGATGCGGCTGTGTCCAGGGATCCCACAAATTATCTTACACTCTTTCAGAGAGGTGCTACCCAGCTGAGCCTGGGTAAAAGCTCACTGGCTCTTGAAGACTTCGACCGGGTTCTTCAACTGAAGCCAGACTTCGAAAGCGCTCTTCTACAGCGGGCACGACTGAAGGCCAGCTCTGCTGACTGGGCAGGTGCGTTGGGTGATCTTGATAAAGCTGGTAAGAGGTCCACACCAGAGTATCAAGAACTCCGGGAATCGCGTGATGCTGCGTCTGCCGCGCTGGAAGCGGAAAGTCGCGGAGCCTGGGATGTCTGTGTAAGCCAGGCGAGTATAGCTTTGGCCAAGGCAACGATGTCTTTAAGCCTGCGGCGGGCTCGGGCACATTGTCGCTTTGAGACGGGTGAAACAGAACAGGGAATCAGCGATCTTCTTCACGTGCTACAGATTCACCCGAGCTCCTTGGAGCCCTATCTACAGATATCGTCGACACTTTTCTATGCCTTGGGAGACACGGACCGCGGTATTTCCCAAGTCCGCAAATGTCTACATTCTGACCCTGATTCGAAACCGTGCAATCGCCTTTACAGAAGGGAGAGGCAGCTTGTAAAACAGTTGCAAAAATTGGAGGAAGCTGTGAATGCGCGAAAACACAACAACGCCATTAATATACTGGTAGGGGTCAGTGGTGAAAGCGGTCTCCTCGATGACGTGCAGAAGGATGCTGCACAGGCAAAGGAGGATGGTCTTATTCACCCAAAAGCCCCGAGCAGCCTTTATGCCTCACTCGTCGAACGGACCTGCGAGGTTTTCCGGGAGGTTCGTTCACTCAACCCCTACTAAACATCCTCTTTTCGCGGTACATTACTAAATCTTGCATCACTTCAGGCGCAAATGCCCAAACGGGCTAGTCCATACTGCTCGGAGGCTTTGACTTTCGATCCTAATTCTTTACCGGCGCTCCTCCTCGAGAGTCAGCATGCTATTGACGAGGATCGGTTTGATGATGCTATACGGTTGCTAAACCAAGCCAAGGAACATCATTCCAATTCGAGGGAAGTTCAGGCCCTGTTGCAGAAGGCCCAAGTTCTACAGAAACGTTCCAAGCAGAAAGACTACTACAAGGTTTTGGGTGTGAGCCGCGATGCGGACGAGAGGACTATCAAGCGTGCTTATCGGCAGCTTACGAAACAGCACCACCCTGATAAGGCCATTTCCCAGGGTGTTACCAAGGAGGAGGCTGAGAAGAAGATGGCCTCAATTAATGAAGCTTACGAGGTACTTTCTGATCCTGAATTGCGATCCCGGTACGACAACGGCGATGACCCCAATGACCCAGAGTCACAAAGGGGCAGGCCATTTCAAGGGAGTCCGTTTGGACCAGGCGGACAATTTTTCTTCCAGCAGGGCGGCGGTCCGCAATTCAAGTTCTCGGGTCAGGGCTTCAACTTTCCCGGCGGTTTCCCTTTCCGCTGATGTTGGGGTCCGGACTTCTGAATGCTGGGAAAACATATTGTATTTAGATCATTCTAGTTTAAACTTGTTTCAATCTCTTTCGAGATTGACAATCATTCTGTGCCATGGCCAAGCCCTGGTCTACTAATACAAAGCAACACTAATTTCAACAAACCGTATTCATACACATTCTGCGGTCTCGGGTTCAAGTACTCTGGAACGGGTTGATTATGTCGATACAGATTGGTTTTGTGCTCCCCTCTACGTTCGCTTCATCCCTTGCACAGTCTTATCTTCCCGGGCGGTCAGTTAGAGGAACGTAGCTAACCTGGAATACTTTTTCCTTGCGGACCGAACCATCCCCACTTTTATCAACTACCCAGATATATTGTCCGCCCCCCAGCCCAAAGCTAGCCTCATCATCCTCCGCGTCAACGGGTATGAACATTCGCCCTGGTGCGCGGAGCTGCTCGATGAGTACGGGGTGAAGATGATGCGCGGCCGCGCCAACATGGATGGCGTCGTACGGTGCACCTTCTTTCCAGCCCAGACGACCATCGGCGGTGATGAATTTCACCCTTCCAGAGTCAAGGAAGTTGCTGCCATCTTTCGATTTGCGCATGTTTGTTTGTGCCAGTTCCACCAACTCCGGAATGTGGTCTACACCTATAACCTGGCCATCGGCTTCGCTCGTGGACGAAGGATTCACGACGAGGTTTGCAAGCACGTGGGTGAGGTAACCCGAACCAGACCCGATGTCCAGCACACGCGAGCCTGGCTTCAGGTAATCGATGAGGTATTCGCAGGCATGTCCATGCATGTGAGGAGCAGAGATGGTAGCTCCATGTCCGATGGGCTGCGGTGAATCTGAGTATGGCCTTGAGGGGGCATAATGGGCGCGATCGACCTTGCACTCTAGTCAGAAACGCCATTCCACTCAGGAAACAGGGAGGTTGTCTGGTCGTGCAGTGTCCATCTAGGTGCGGATATGTGGCTAGAAGTGAAGGAAACGGGGCGGATGGAAAGAGGAAGGAGGGAGGGGGGGGGGGCGATTGTGTCAACCCAGGTGTAAACGCTGGCCGCAATGTCTTAAACAGTGTGTGAAGTTCAGGGATAGGAGCTACTACTCACGCCTAGCATGGCATTCTTCACTCTTTCATCTTTTATCAGACCCGTCTTGAACAGGTTCGCGATAAGCTCGCTATTCGTGGAGCCAGAGCAATACCACGCCATTGACAAGGACCTTTGCAGAAGCTTCTTGGGTAATGAAGACACGCTTATGGGTGTCTTCTTTAGCATGTAGCGCGCAAGTGGTTTGTTTTACTTTAGGCCGACACAGCAAACGGAGCCAGTCGCAGATGCCAATATTTGGCCTGGCCTGTAGATGTGATCAGAGGTATTAACTGCAGGTACGTCACATGAGTATTGTAATCGTAGCCTTAGGTAGCTATGACGCCATGCTTAACCGCTTCCGATCACGTGTATGTACCCGGGGTTGAACCTCTCGGGATCTTGGTGAAGCACGCCGGAGAGCTTATGTATTGTCGATTGTTTTGTATGGGGATAGGCAAGCAAGCATGGTATATCATGCAGTAGAGTGTTAGTCAAGTGGGTAATTATACGTGACGGCATTCGCCCACTGATTGGTATCACTTTGATCCTTTGTACAGGTGTACATATACATACATATATATATATATACACATAAACTCGGGTATGGTCGTAATGATAATGCGTCCCGAGAACTACACCTATGCTCTGAACCGATGTAATCCATCATCATGTACAACTGAATACGCGCCGGAAGAAAAGAATAGGCCTTACTCAAGGAACCAAAGCCCATGGCCTTTCAAGCCTCAAGAAGCTAAACTCACACTGACAGACTACCTTGTACCGTCGGACTCGACAAGCAAATAACCCAATCGCGCAAGGGCCGGGTAACTACTAGTACTAGATAGCCACACTGGCTCCAACACAATTACTAATTAAGCACATTAACCAATAATCGAAATGACCAGCCAATCAATAGTTGATTACCTCGCAGCTATTCACGGACCGTAGTTAACCAATTGACCAGTTAAATAACCAAACACAGGGCCCGGGCCGGTATCACATTTTTGAAAATTCACAGGACAAAGCATACTGTATTAGCTCGACCCATGGATTGTGGCGGGATTTAGAAGCCCTCACCCTTTAAAACAGTGCGATCATACGACCAACAGAATGGCTGAATTGCTAGCTGGCTGCATCACCCCACCATGGAATCGCTCACAGCAGACCCGGATACCCAAGTTGAGGTAGACCTTATGATACTGGATTATCTCCTGTGCATGGCCATTGACCAAGTCCTGAGCCCCGGGAATGGTGGAGAGACACAGTATGCACATGAATGTGACATTAGCTGGAGTTTGAAAACTATCAACAGTATGGACACTCCTATGCGCTTGATAGCAAGTCACAGGTACTGACGCTCAACCCAACAGCTATCAAGGCTGCACTCCTACCATCATATATCCTTCCCAAGGACATGCAGATAAAAACCCAGATATTAGAACTCGCACAATTGTTCAGTGATGGCAATGGACATCCAGAGCCAAGCAGACGACCGGCTGTCGAGCCGTCGCAGGGAGATCAGCGCACAACAACCGAGAACAGGAGTCCAATAGCCCAGTCTGAAAGAAGGCCGCCCCAATTGCACCAATCCCATGAAAACGACAAACCACCCGCCCACAATAGCCGGGATCTCGCATTGAATAGATCCTACAATACACTAGTCAGATTTGTCGCCCTTTGCGGCACAGCGGGAGATAATTTACCAGATGGACACGCTGATACTACTGCAAAATTAATAACTGAAGCTGCACTGAACGATTATCACATGGCGGGTGCTCAATCGCCAGGTAGGTACAGGGAATGCATTGAACATGTTACTGCGTGCCTGCGCGAAGATCTGGACCCGCATGTGGACCAGGCAAACCTGGAATACCTGAGCACCCTCCTACCACCCATCGACCTTTTATTAGACGTGTCGGAAGGATCTGGGCAAACTTCATCACTCGGAGATACCACTACCCGTCTGGTACATCGTTTCCTGACCGACCTAATGAAGACACTAGACCCTCCAATACTCATTCAACTCGAGAGAGGAAGACTTGGAGGACTGAGCCGTGAAGAGACCCAGCAGTTGAAGGACAGGATAGGGTTTTGATAGTAGAGAGCGTCTTGATTAGTATGTACATGGTAAATCGAGCCAAAGTATTGGAATCCCAGAACAATCATAGGCAGCAATCAAGCTTAATGAAGTTTGTATTGTAAGCTGATACTCTTGGTTACATGTCCACACAGGACTGTTATTCTACAATTCGAGAGCCTAAGTGCAAAAAATAAAAGAGGCGTAAGAGAATGGGTGATGGATGCCTGAGACCTCCGGTACCCAACAGGTCAGTTCAATCAGCATGAAGCGTGAAAGATCTACCCCAGCAGCATCCGACGGGGGTCTTCAATGTATTCCTTGACCTGCGTTTAGCCAGAGTTAGCACACAATCCATAGAAAAATGTCCAAAAAGAATGATTAACCTTAACCAAGAAAGTCACAGCCTCACGGCCGTCCAAGAGTCGGTGATCGTAAGTCAGGGCAAGATACATCATCTGCTCGCAATATTAGCGACCATCACAGCCTTTTCTCCTTTTCTGAGGCTTCATGCAGAAGTATGGGAACATACAGGGCGAATTTCAACTTTACCGTTCACAGCCACCGGCTTGTCTTTGATTGCGTGGAGTCCGAGAACAGCTTGAAAAAGAATTAGATATACAACCAAGCGATACGCCAAGATTCAGACCTACCTGTCTGTGGGAGATTAATAATGGGAGTTCCCATCAGAGAGCCAAAAACTCCGCCCTAGGTGTACTGTTAATAACTGAGCGAACACCTGGTAGAAAAACAGGTAAGCACTCACATTGCTAATGGTGAAAGAGCCTCCAGCCATGTCCTCGATAGTCAACTTATTGTCACGAGCCTGGCAAAAAGCACGTTAGCCGGTTCTCATTAAGCCAGCTTCCAGAACATCCCTCACCTTCTTGCCAAGATCCGCGATTGCTTTCTCAATGCCAACGAGGTCCATGGTCTCCGCATTGCGAACCACTGGTGTCACGAGTCCTTTCTCAGTGGCAACGGCCACACTGATATCCACGTAATCACGATAAACGATAGTGTCCCCACCATTGGGACCTTCAATGGAGGCATTAACAGCAGGAACGTCTTTCATGGCAAGAACGCAAGCGCGAGAAAAGGCACTCATGAATCCGAGTTTGACACCAGTCTTCTTCAATACATCGTCCTTGTACAGCTTGCGGAACTCCATCAGAGAGGACATGTCGACTTCGTTGAATGTGGTGAGAGAAGCTGCCGTGTTCTGGGACTGCTTCAGACGTTCCGCGATTCTTAATCTCATTCTGTTCATTTTCACCTATTGAGAAAGTAAAAAGACTCTAATGTTAGTGGAGGAAAGAAAAAGGAAGGTAGATATAGACAATTAGTCAGGTACATACCCTCCGCTCTTCGCGACCCCCAACGCTGGGCTTCGCATCTTCGGAGACCTGCGGCTTTGTAGCTGCCGGCTCTGTTTTCTTTGAGGGACTGGGCTCCGGAGGTGTGGCCTTCTGGGAGGAAGACTGGGGTGCCTCGGGTGCCTTAGGTTTCTCAGGTTCGGAAGCCGTGGGCTTGTCAGCAGCAGCTGGCGCGGCCGGCTTTTCAGTTGCGTCTTCCTTCTTGGTTTCAGGGGCGCCACCAAGCTCCAATTTGACAAGGTCCTGTCCAACTGTGACGGTGTCTTCCTCGCTCACGAGGAACTCCTTGATGGTACCGGATTCAGGGGCATTAACGGATACATCAATCTACACAAGTGAGTCGCTGTTTTATACTCCACAGGGGCATATCCATTGCAGCAAGAGGCGGCCATCGCCCAGTCTCAGCGCTTACCTTGTCAGTCTCAATGGTTGCGATCTCCTCGTCCCGTTCAACGTAGTCACCGATCTCTGCCCGACAATATTAGCCCGATCTATATATGCTTCGAGTGCTGGGACCTCACGTTTGGAGAATTGCTTCAATGTCCCTTCGGTGATCGATTCCGCCATCTGCGGAACCTTGACAACAGTGTCCGCTAACCGGAAACAACAACAGGCTTTAGTAGAGTAGCGTTTGGAGACAATGGAAGGGAACTTTACCATAAGTCCGCACCTGAGTAGCCCCGAAAGGAGCGATACTGAAGCGAGACATTTTGGGCCTGTGACAACGGTTAGTCGTTGATTGCCGTTAATCAAAAAAAGACTTGATACCACTGACCCCAGAGCCGTAACCTGCTGGAGACTCGCGCTTGACTTGAGAGAACCATTAACGCTCTTCTGGAGTGCAACAGACGTCAAGCTTCTGGCGCGGCCGATGTGGAGGCTGCGGGAAACGCTGTTGTTTCGATGAAGAGTCCTCAGGTGTTGCCCAGAGAGGCGATGAAACGGTAATCGAGAAGCCATGATGACTGGTTTGAGTCCGTCTGAATATTCAGATTTGCAAGAACTGTAGGAATGTAGCCGGGAGTTGTGGTAGAATAAATAGGGCCCCCTAAAGAGTGGACGGTATGTTGTCGGGCTCTAGTCCAAGTCCTAGGTATGGATATTTCCTGTCGGGAACTGTAGAGTGACGAAACTTATGTCAGTCGAGGGCACTGCAAGCTCAAGCCCGGGCCGAGACAACCGGAATTTCCCTCAACAAGCGCGGCATTCCCTGCGCCCGGCAAATGAACGGAGTATTATTATTACGCTACTGCGGGCGTCGAAGCACACCAACTTGGTACTTTCGTGACCCGCATAGGGATCATTAACGGCTAGGCAACTGAACGAGCTGTAAACTTCGTGCAAAAACCCATAGACTACAACCCGACAGCCTTGGTGCACAAACGCCGCAGGCCCCAGAGACAAGTGCCTTAAGACAACTCACGCCTACGGAACGAATTTGCTGCAAATCACGATGCCTCTCAACGCTGGCGCGTAGGTTGACCGAAGGAAGAGCGAATAGAAGATATCCTGACTTTGTTGTCCAGTTCACTTTATCGACGGTCCCTGAAATTGGCTCTTGATTGGGCCGTCCACCGCCATATCTGGAGAGGACAAGCCGTGTATATTCGCTCACTTTTTGAGGCCAACAAAGATGTTCGCGATCCCCGTCAGCAGAAGGCAAGTGCTGCTTCCTATCGCATTGAATAACTAGAGTTCGAAGAACTGACGGTGAAACGGAAAGGTATTGCTGCAAGAGACAGAAAAGCTTCTAGAGACATGGAAACACCCTGACCCTTACCGCGCGCCTACGGCCCCGGGTGGTGAGTTGAACAGAGTGTGCTTTATGAATCGAAAGATCAGGATCTGACATTTCTATAGGCAGCAAATACGAGAGAAACATCCCTGCCCCTCAATTGCCTCGTGAGTGAAACAATGATGATCTGCTGAAAGTATAGATTATTGACGCGGAGATATCTGCTAGTTGCCTCGGACAGCTCGACACACTGAGTATAACTGCAGCTTCTTTGCGCATTCATCTTGTATACCTAGGTCCATAGATGAAAATAAAACTGACTATAACATCTATATGCTCTGAGCGACCATAATTATACGGGTCATATTAAAGGAAAATATAAAGACACGCCATTGGCTTTCAATGGTTGAGCAAAATTCCTACACAAGTCCGGACTAGAGGGTAGGATTGAATCCGTGAAAATGCTGTCGGTATCATTCCATGTCCGTAGACATAATGTACAACCATAAACTGTGGAAACTAGAAAAAAGAAATCGCAGAGCCATAAACGTTCCGACCAGAACCCCGTTATCACATCAATAAGAGAACCAAACCGCGCCGAATCAGAGAACCCAAATTAGAAAGAAATTGTTTACAGCTCCTGGCTTCCCGGGCCCTTTCCACTCTTGGGGGTCTTCTTGGGCAGAAGGTCTATGTATTGTCAGTACCACATGCTGAATTAACAAGTGGAGCCAGTACTTACTCTGGTGGATGTTGGGGAGGACACCACCCTGGGCAATGGTGACATGACCCAGGAGCTTGTTCAGTTCCTCATCGTTGCGGATGGCGAGCTGAAGGTGACGGGGAATGATACGGGTCTTCTTGTTATCGCGAGCAGCGTTGCCAGCCAATTCAAGAATTTCGGCGGCGAGATACTCAAGGACGGCAGCGAGGTAAACGGGAGCACCTATTATTATGAGGTTAGAGTTGCCTTTTGGGTTAAAACGAGTATCACTAACCGGCACCAACACGCTGAGCGTAGTTGCCCTTGCGGAGGAGACGATGAACACGTCCAACGGGAAAGGCGAGACCGGCCTTGGACGAACGGCTGTGACCGGGTCAGTATATTAACGAATATCTCGAGATGACGCTCGAGATGAACGGGTGGCATACGATTGGGCGTTCTTGCTGCCGCTGGCCTTGCCTCCAGATTTGCCTCCAGTCATTTTGTTGGATGGTATGTGAGGTTTTTTTTTCCTTTCGAAGGTGTTTAATTTATTAGGGAGTTGTCGTTAACAAGTGACGATGGCGATAAGCGTGATATGGTGCTAAAGGGTTGACGGCCAACGCGAGGGAGCGGAGGACATATATAACAACGCGATCAGGGTGACGTTGGACTACCCGGGAGCCTTTCAGATCACCCTCTCGCTTAGCGGGGTCAGCCAATCACAAATGAGATCATGCTCCGGCGCACCCATAGCTTGGCAAAGAGTGTTTGGTATGATTCCGCGCGTGGTCGCCCCAATTGGGTTAAGCGTGGTAATTAATAATTATCGTTTCGATACGGTCATGTTAGCGTGATCTTAGCCAACTCCCCACAGTGGACGACGCGTTCTCCCTCATCTAATCATACAGATCATACATAGATGTGACCGTATTGAAATTCTGCTTCTTTTGCGGACTCAGGATCAACTGAGTATTTGCGAGCTAGTATAAGTAGCGCGCCTCCCTCGTCACCGCGTCTCCCTCATTCTTATCCTCATCTTCACTCTATCCTCTGTCGACGCCAACGCAACCACCGTATCCTATACCCTTATCACAACTTTCTACATCTTTCACACCTAATCTCAAAATCTTTCAATATGCCTCCCAAAGCCGCTGAGAAGAAGCCCAGCACCGGTGGCAAGGCCCCGGCAGGCGGCAAGGCTCCCGCTGAGAAGAAGGAAGCCGGCAAGAAGACTGCTGCCGCTGCCTCCGGCGACAAGAAGAAGCGTGGAAAGACCAGGAAGGAGACCTACTCGTCTTACATCTACAAGGGTAAGTAATCTTAAGACTTTTATTCCTAGTCAATAGTTATTGACTGTGTTATAGTCTTGAAGCAGGTCCACCCTGATACCGGTATCTCGACTCGTGCTATGTCCATCCTGAACTCCTTTGTCAATGGTATGTCGTGAATGAAGCAGAGTTATAACTTCAGCAAGCACCTAACGCGGTCTAGATATCTTCGAGCGTGTCGCGACCGAGGCCTCGAAACTTGCCGCTTACAACAAGAAGTCCACCATCTCTTCACGGGAGATCCAGACCTCGTAAGTCCTCTGTCGATCGAGATAGTAGCAAATCGCTAACACCTCTCTAGTGTGAGGCTCATCCTTCCCGGTGAATTGGCGAAGCACGCGGTGTCGGAAGGCACCAAGGCTGTCACGAAGTACTCGTCTGCCAAATAAGCATTTTCTTCCCTTTTTTTCTTTCTGCAGGATTGTTCTTTTGCTACCTCGTCATCTGTTACGGTTTTGAGGTGGTGGGTTACAGGGTGTTCGCGGGATTCTAATGTGTCATGGGATGGCTTTATTTCTTTTTTCCCCTTGGGCCAAATGTTTTATGGTTGTTTTTTTTTTGTGACGTGAATGCGGTGTAACATAACTCGGATGTGGGGTTGGTTGCGCGGGTTTACCTTCCCCAGCAGAATTCGAATATCAAATTGCCTAGTTGCATGTCTATAAGATCAAAACGCAGTGGTATATCGGATCAAAGCTGGGTACTGAAGTTAAAGTAAATGTATTGACAGCAAGTGCTATTCGATATCATCCAGTGCTTCAACCTGGTCAAGTGCTCCCGCTTCCTGGTCGTGGTCAGGATTCATTTGCTTGAGTACATGGATAATCGGCCGTCCCTTGACGGCTTCTATGCGGTTTAACCAGTCGGCCCAATCTTCCTGGTTTCGAATGAGGAAGCCTATAAGCATGCTCGGATCCATGTCCCGCACGTGAATCCTCCTCAAGCGCCGTGTATGATAAGTATCAACCTCCTCCTTTGAGTATAGTTCGCCTTCTTGACGATCTGGAAGCGCAGGGCGGGTATAATGTGGATCTAGATAGAACAGATGCGACCCCTGGGCTCCGACAAAGTAGTGTGACGCCGACGGGCGTCCCCTAGTGATGACGTCAGCTTTAATGGTGAGGAATGGCTCATGGGTGGGCAATATACCCTGCAATTCCGACTGATTGAGGGAACTGCAACGCTGCTTTTAGACCATCCCCATAGACTGGGGTGATGTTGTCAATGCCGAGCCTTGTCCCTAGAAGTATCAGGGTAGGCTGAAAAGCACCGGATGTGTTTCGGGCGATATCCATGAATTTGTCCTGGTAAACTTCCGATGTATCATTCGAGACATATACTTTCAGTGTGGGATTTCCACACTGGGACGAAAGTGCTCTGTTTTATTGTTCAGTTCACCTTTTTATAATAGTTGCTAGGTGTAATGTGGAGCTTACTCTATGCACTTGGCGGTTGCGGAGGGCCCAAACCATTCCCCAGGGTACTTCCCGCACGATTCGGCACCATGTTTTACGAACCGATGTACGGAGAAGGGGGCAGTTGGCGTGTCGGCAAAAAGAGATAGTAGCTGTGATTCTTCCTCAAACCTTGCTCCACGGCGCCAGTCTGGTCAAATGTTAGCAGTGCATTCAGGCCACGCGCGTGAATGATAGTACCACGTCCTAGGACCAACATAGATAGTGCATTTGCCAGCAGGCTCTGACCGGATCGTATCATACAGCCCCAGCCAGTATCGGATGTGAATCCTTGCGTATCTACTAATTGGCTTCTTAGGCGTACCCCCAGTGTCATTGATGCACTTTTGTCGTCTCCCTCGACTCTAGGTATAGGGGGGAAATTGGACCGATAGGTCATCCAGATTCTTGATTCGAAATCCAACAGGAACGACTCAGGCCACGCATGTTCTGATGGTTTCCGATAGTTGGTCGTTCCCATCGCGTTCTCTCGGGTGTTGTTCTTGTCGGCTGGCACCGGTATCAGTGACATTTGGAACAAATGTGTCTTTTAAAAAGGCATGGGTTGGTTATAATTTTGCTTGGGCTTACGTGTCTCTCTTGGGTTGGCATCCTTGTCGGGATGATACTCTATCCCTAGGCACCATATTGAAGAATTAGGATCTTCATCATTCCTGGGTTCTGGATCCCAGAGATACTGTACGATGCGTTTGCTGCATCGTCCTATGTCAACTGTGTTCATGTCTGCTATCGTTGCGATACTCTAAGTTGCACTTCCCTGGTCGCACGGATGAAGATGGTAGGGTGTGGTGTTGTAGTACGTCACTCGATAAGATTGCACTATATATTATCCTCGGCCCGTTGGAGACGGGCAACCTAGATGGCGGGACTTTGAGGGAGAGACATCAAAAGTGCAACGCACTTTCCAAGAATGAGATAATGACAGTTATCAGCGCGACAGATCATAGGGTTGGTAGTGACAAAAGATAAATCAACCACAGAGGGAAGCTTGGATGTGACCAGGAGGGGTCATATAGTATCTATGCATTAGTTGTAGTCACGGGGCCAGCTAGGGCGGAAGTTGCTGCTACAACTTGGAAAGCTTAGAGAAGGTTATCATAGGCCCCTACTTGAGGTACACAGGAGAATCAACAGAAAACGACGATTGAATATAAAATGATGTATAGTAGCTCTGGCCAGTATTGACACGCCGTGTGGGAAAAATAGACCTTACTGTCTCTGAGTGAATCAAGGCCGCCCAGACCCTTCTTGATAAAGCCCGCCTGTGTACCCCGCCGGGCACCTTCGCCGGCTTACCATCATTACATAAGTGAGGATATGAACCGCAGATAACATTGCCAAGAGCGAACGGCTAGATTAAGCTTGGAAGTAGCAAAGGTACCATCTCAAGTCGCTTATCCTCATCAGATCGAACAAACACTCTTCTGTCTTCCAACTGACACAAGGACTATCAATATAATTCAAGAACAAGGCCGAAACCCAGCAAGCCAAGCGAAGAAAAAGAAAGAAAAGGGGGAAATAAAAGGCCTGGAAAATGACACGATCCAAGGCAAAAGTCCGGAACAAAAAGCAGAAAACTGTGGCGGATGATCTCTTAGGTACTCTATCGTATCATATCACCACTTCAGATTAAAGTCACGTTACTGACTTTTCGAAGATCCTGGCAAAAGCCATTTGACAATGCAGCAAGAAGCGCGCAACACTGAAGGACGCAGCCTATGGAGGACAGGTGCCTCACTACGCCACCAAACAGTCCGTTTCGTGAGCGCCCGGGACATTAACCGGGAGAGTGAAACGCAAACCCCTCCCAGCACAATTGAGACTACCGCACAGGAAGAGAACCTGGAAACACTGGCGATCAAGAATTGCGACCAGCCGACGGCTACATTCTTGCCAGAGAGCAGGCCGGGAAACGAGGACCCATCCTTCTGCGCCGAGTTAGTTGACAACCTCGAATCGACAGCGATATCGGATCCCATAGTTCATTCCACCACGCTGTCTCACGCGGATTCGAGTGAAGATGAGGTTGTGTTTCGTGGCCGGAGATACCAGCATGGGGAACGCAGATCCCACCCCTCGGAGATCCAGACGCAAAAGGTTGTCCCTATCGCCGGTAGTCAGCAACCAAGAGCATCCGAGCCCAGCGAATCGGAAATCCCTTGCTCAAACTCCGAGTCCAACTCATTGCCCGCTCCCAAACCATCACAGACAAAAAACTGCCCCCAGGAAATGGACAGCCCAAGTTACATTTCGCTTGCCAGCGATAGGCGGCTGCGCAAAAAATGGAAAAGAGACGACGATGACATACTCGCCGACTACATAGACAATATTGACAGCGAATACTCGATACTGGGCAGTTCTCTACACCCTGTTAAAGCTCAAGAACCAGACAATCCCGACAAGGTGGTACCAACGTCCGTTATGGGTTTGAACTCCGCAGCTGAAAAGAATCTGCGCCCGAATGAGGATTCCGCTCAACGCGGTAATATGACACTGGGCGATGAACAAGAGTGCGGCGAGAATGATAATTTAGAGTGTAAGTGGAGTCAGAATGCAAATATTCCTTGGTCGTTTCGTCTGTGGATGTTTACTAATCGGGCCAAGGTCACTACAACCATTGGAATCAAGAAATAAATCAAGAGGCATCGGTTGACCGAATATTCCGTACGAATGGCGCCTCACCCGCTTCATCAGACGATACAGACACAGAGGACGTAGAAGAGGAAAATTCTGAGGTAAGATACCTAAACATTCCAATTTCGCCAGACATCCCCTCGAGACCTGGATCACCCTGAAATCTCCTTACTCACCCTATGCAGAAACTGCACACATATGACAACGGTTTCTTTGCGTCTGCGACGGCTTTTGCTGATGCACTGGAATTTGATCCCTACTATGGATTCGATATCATGGACTACAACCGACCAAGTGTGAAAAAGAAGTCTAAAGGAAAGGGCCGTCCTTTGGATATCAATCTATCAGACAGTGAACTTGAGTCTGAGCTGGTGAATGCCTGGCAAAACGACAGGGCAAAGAAGAAGGCCAGGAAGCAAAAACGCGAAGAGCTACGCTCTCTGGGCCTATTGGGCCGGGGCCGCCAAAACCCGTCCCTAAAAGACAAATATTCCAATGGAATAGGCAACGAGGACCTGAAAAGCGAAATTCGACATTTTCTCCTCTCACCAAGAGACAGGTACATATATCTACACTCTCAGTAAACTGAACTGCTCCTGGTATATGATATCTGACACTGTCTCTGCAGCTTGGCTCTGCCTCCCATGTCGAAGCAGCACCGCAAACTGGTCCACGAGCTGGCCAATGTTTTGTCTATGAAATCGCAATCTCGAGGCAAGGGATCCTCGAGGTTTCCCATCGTGCACAAGACCTCTCGGACTCCTACATATACATCCAAAACCGTGTCTCAAATGGATCGGATCTTATCAAACGGGCGTGGCCAACGCGGGCTCAAACCCCGGGACTCGAAGACGAGCAAGCCTAGCAAGTCGCGCCGCGGGCGAACCGATGCAACCGTTTCCTACATGGATGGTGATGTCGTCGGAGGATCGGCACCTGAAATTGGTGCCGAGAATAAGGGCAGGGCTATGCTTGAGAAAATGGGATGGAGTATTGGCACCCCTCTTGGTTCTATGAATAATAAGGGTATTCTTCTACCTGTTGCACATGTTGTGAAGAACTCGAGGGCTGGGTTAGGATAAATAGCATGCGCACGCGATAGTCAGAGCAAGTTGGTAGTCTCGGCTTCTTTTCTCCAGTTTTCTCTTTTCGTTACCCTACGTGCCGTGATAATAGGGCAACAGGCCTGTAAAAGAGATACGTGTGAACATATCATCCGAAATAATGGTATGAATTTTCAATGGCGTATTTACTTGTTACATGGCCACGGTTAGTGCCAGTCGTTGATAGATAAGCTCTTGAAAGGCGCCAACGGGAAACCAAAGTACATCTTTTAAGCTCTTCTCTTTCTATGCCGAGTGACCTCCTGAACCTGTGCGTGATCGGACTCTTTAAGATGTGAAAAAAGCTGGGTCCGTGAAGGAAAGGAAGCGTTGCATGTTGTACACCGCGGGCCTAAGGACTGTCCTTTTGCCTGTTCAGCTTTTTTTATGCGCTTTTGTTTAGCCTTGCCCAACTTCTGAACGGCTGGCTTGGAGGGATCAAGCTCTAGATGCGTAAAATCCGAAGACAGACTAGCCGCCGCATTTGTCGTATCCTGTGTTGAATCACCGGTCAGTTGGAGTCGACCTTCGACAACTTCTCTTGAAGCATAGTCAATTTCACTTTCTGAGGTTTGATCGACATAGCCCCGTAGGCTTTCGTGAGATACGCGTTCACTGTGGATCTCACCGGCAATTTCCGGTGCCGGTATGCGACCCTCATTATCATCATTGCCGGGGAGAGTGTTTCCCGACGTGGATCTGCATGGTGTGCTTTCGGCGTCCGATACAGGCATAGCCTGATAATCGGGGATGAATGTCATGGCAGTCTGGGCTTCATACTCTGATGAATCTCCCGCTAGTCCTAGTTGCTTGTTTTCATTCCTCATTTCCTTTTGAAGCTGCCTAATAGCTTTGACATGCTTTTTGCTTCGTTCGTGTGCCTCAAACTGATTCAAACTCTTGAAACTTTTGCGGCACACAACACATTCGAAAAATTCCAGTTCTGTCTCGGTACTCACTGTCTCGTCATCTTCAAATTCCTCTGACTTTGCCCAGTCTTGCGTAACATGGTCTCGCAGCCTAGCTTGGTTCGCAGCCCGTGATTTGGCAGCTTGGGAGGCAGCAGATTGTCGGAGGAATTCCTGGCGCTGTGATTCACTTTGAGTGCTTGTCTTGTATCGCGGGTCGCGCTTTTTGACGAAAGCTACGAGTGATCGAACTGCATCGTTGAATTCACGGATGCCTTCGTCCCTCAGACGCTTATTTTCCTTCTCCATCAGTCTACGAACACGACGGTCTGGAGCTTCTGAGTAACGATAGACATCTTTCCATGCAAAAGACTTCTTTGTTGAGAAGCCGCCCCATGCAACGTAAAATGGGCGTACAACTTTTTCAAAATCGTCTCCCCGGCACCCGAACGTAGGATAGGCAATAAATTCCATATTTTCCCCACGGCAAGCGATCTCTTCCTCCATGGCAAGTCGTGAGAAGGCCTCACGAAGACCACCGTAGAAGCCATCCGAGGCATCTGAAAATTCCATTTGTGGACTGAACCTAGAAAAGATCCTATAGACATCGTCTGCAGTAGTCGTGCGCGAACTATATGGAGTTCCCGAGTTGCCAGAACTGCCCTGGCTTCCTAACAAGACATCTCGATGGGTATCGTACCACGAACGCTCCTGAGGGTCTGAAAGCACTTCGTAAGCAGACTGAATCTCTGCAAAAAGCTTTGTAGCAGATTCCACATTTCCATAGTTCCGGTCCGGGTGCAACTCAAGGGCTTTTCTTCTGTACGCCTTTTTAATTCTAAAGGGAGTATGGGGTGTTAGTGGCTTCAGGATACTTTTGCTGCTCATCCCACCAAGTCTCCCCTTCGAGGCCCGCTTTCATATTCCCTTCCCCATTCTGCGTGCCCTATTCCCAAGAAAAAATTCATGCGCAAGATTTAGGAAAACCGAAAGGCAAGGCAAGCTTACTCCTCTGCAGATGCGTCCCAATTCACCTGTAAAAGTTCGTAATAATCAAGTTTCTTATCGGATGATCTAGCGGAAGAGCTGGCGTTCTCTTCGCTTGTCGAAGACTGAAATTGGCCCATGAGTCCGAATGAAAGGCTTCCGTGATGAGGAGATGAAGGATGGATTTTGCGCAGGAGTAACAAGATTGTCGATAAGAAATGGGCTAGAAAGAGCTGATACGGCAGAACTCCCCGCTCAGGATCGAGCTCGCTTGGCTCCGATGTGCACCCACCCAGATGGACACGGATATGAGCGGCACAAACTTGTCATAGTCTAAGGACAGCCTTTCTTTCGTCCCAATTGTCGTCGTCTATTGCTGTGCCACATGTACCGGAATGGTTCCGTCTCTGGACTATTTCCCTGAAGAGTTGCTACATCAAATTCTTTGCTACTGCCCACCCCGTTCCGCTGCCGCATTAGAACAGACAGCTCGCGGGTTTCGCGGAGTAACAACACAGCCTTTACTATGGCGATATTATTGCCTGAGCCATTTTAAGCACTGGGCCCGGCAACATGGGTTATCAGCGAAGCTTGCAAGCCCTATCTCTGCGGTAGATTGGAAATCGCTTTACATACTAAGGCATCTAAAATACCGCGCGACCTGTCATCTTCTGGACAGTATCCTTGCAAATCAAGCTGGAAGAATCGATAAGGTTCGAAAGATTATAGGGCTTGGTTATGATGCTAAAGATGCCCTTCTACATAATCTTGAGATTGATTCCAATGTAGAAGATTACTTGGCAAGGAGGTTTGTTCTGTCTATCCATGGGACGACATCTCGTTTTAACTGTATTGCTTTGAAATAAGATACTATGCCGAGGCGCTCCTCACTTGCCTTCATCGAAGTCTCGCTGTACAAGAATGGGCTAAACTGAGAAATGGCGAGGAGGTGTCTCTAGACAGGGCATTAGGTGCATTCGACCTTTTTAGACCGAAGAGCGACTTCGGCAATTTAGAAGAGGTAAGTGACCCTGGGGCTTGAAAAGACGTTGCTATCTAATACAATTCTAGATAAGCGATAGACTGGACTCGATTGCCTCGCTACTTTCAGTCAATTGTCCAGACATCCACCAGCTCACGTCTCGTAATAAAGCCAGGGCGGTTGCGAAGTTCCTGAGGGCAAATAATTTCACCGGAATTGGTGAAGAAAAAGAGTACCATTGCTTGGAGCATAACTTTCTTGGTGTTGCTTTGAATGACCCTCAGCACAACTCACTTCCTCTAATTTCGGCAACTATTTACTGCTATGTTGCTGAACGAATCGGCCTGAACGCCCGGCCATGCGGGTTTCCTTTTCATGTCCATGTAATTATCATGCCGCCCATCGGCTATGATATTGACGATAATGTAATTGAAGACGGGACACGGGGCAGCCCAATCTATATGGATCCGTTCCGCTCAGAGAAGGAAACACCAATCACGGATCTAGAGTATCAACTGAACTTCTTAGGTGTCACTGCGGTCGAGCGAGCGAACTTCTTGGCCGAATCCCACCCTTCAGAGGTCGTCCTTCGGTGCAGCAAGAATATTCTGAACTCGGTCCAACGCATGACTCGGTTTCCTGATATGCGCCTATCACCAGTGGAGGTGGTTTGTGCGAAGTATGCTGCCATTTGGTCCTCTTTGTTGCTTTCGGATCTTGCCCGGCCCACCGACATCAGACATAATCTCCTATGGCTAATGGAACTTTTTGCGTCTGAATTTCCATCCGATATCCACCTGATTGAACAGTATGTGGCGCCTCTGCTTCATGGGACGCCCGAGTATGAGCATATTCTGGAAAGCCTCCATGTCATGCGTGCGGCGGACGAAATACCTAAACAGGTAAAGAGGCGCTCTTCCCAGCGGAGGCAAGTAAAATACTACGTTGGGCAGGTATTCAGACATCGCCGGTATGATTACCGAGCCATCATAACAGGTTGGGACACGGAGTGCGGCGCGGGTGAACAATGGATGAGAAGGATGGGAATAGATCGCTTACAGGGTGGTAGGCACCAGAGCTTCTATCATGTGCTGTAAGCTCCTTTACAGGTATCGATCTTATTTACAAGGTGAAGCTAACTCCTGCTCCCAAGAGTCGAGGATAAAAGTGTTCGTTATGTGGCCGAGGAGAATATTGAGCCGATGGATCCCGAGCTCTCAGAATTGCCCTCGTCACTCGTGGCAGTGGCGGGGAAGCACTTCAAACGATGGGATGAAGAAACGAGGACATTTGTCAGTAACATTAGGGATGAATATCCTGAGGACTGATCAGGAATAAGCTTTACTGGGTTGCCTATAGTGTTGGACGGGGCCAAGTTCAGGCCATGGAATCAGATTGTTAGAGACCGGGGACTACAGTTCCTCGGGGTTGCAGTAGGATCCATCCTAGTGTGCTTTTCAATTTGAATCCGTCATGGAACAACCTAGGGGTGTTGTTCACGCAAGGCCAAAAAGACCGTCATTACCTGCAGCTACCTGCGGATTTCTGGAATCTTACTTATAGGTAGCAAAAAATATAGACACGGGAACAGCTGGTATCCTATTATTTAAACTCTCTTAGGTTAATAATCTATGATAATACCTTTCTCTCTCATAGATTTCAGCCTGAAGACTAGAAAATAGCTTAACTACTAGTCAAGCTTGCTAACTAAGCGCGGGTATATATGGTTCTACATATTCTGATATTAATGTAAACAACAGTTGAACAGCCTACACGTTAGGCGGCCCATCCTGCTATCCTATATAAAAGATATCTTTTTGATACTACTATATCTCAAACAATACTGGATTTGAGAAGCTCTAAAGTTATATATAAAATATACATATATAAATAAATAACTGGTGAATTTTTTCGGATTTTTATAAATTTTCTTCATATAGAACATATCAGATTTTATGAATTACTGTGATAGAATAATCTAGTTATCCGAGATAAAGCCATCGGGATGACGTATTATAGTGGTTATAAAAGTTATAAGATCATTAATAACAGTTCTATATTTTTTTGATATTTATAAAATACTGATCTCTTAGTATTAAACTATCAATTCTCTAAGAATCAGTTTATTTCGTGGATATAGACTATTTTTATTATTATTAAATAAATTTGCAGTATTTAATAACTAATTTCTTATTTAGTTAACAGGTTTTTTTTTCTAATAAATAAATTCTATTATACTCCGATTTTTTTATTTTTGATTATCTAAGAAAGATACCATCTGTTAAAAATAATAA